CAGGAAGGAATTTGTTCGCCAATTTCTTTGTCTAAAAATTTTTATATCCACTGCCTTATCATTGGGTCTGTGTAACGTTGGATTGCATGCATCGTTTCGGTACCCACTTTCTTCCATCTAGACCTCTGCCCCATTCCATTGGCATCCCAAGGTACCTCCTATCAACACTGGTATACTGCGCCGTATACCTAGTAGCTTCGCTACTCATGCGCCTACATCGGTCGCGACCTAAAATCTCATCCTAAGCTCACTGTGCGCCGTCTGTGCACAAAGTTATAATATATTTTCTTCCTATTTGCATAGCAACTAATGTTTCACAGTGATGGACGAATCCTATAGTCCAGGTTTCACGGCAGTGCTTCTCACCAACCTTTGCTAGGGTGGTCGAATTTTAATTCTCGCTGGGGTCGCGGATATCTCGAGTAATTAATATATACTCAAACCCTATCAATAATAGTTTTATAGACGTCGGGAAAATATCTATCTTAGGTAACATTGGTCTCCGACTCGGCAGCGGATTGGCCCTTGGAGACTCAGGTCTCCTTCCGAACTCCCCGATACCGATCGTCTGCACAATTAGCAGTGACAGCAATGCAGGTAAGGGAAGGTCCTAGAGAGTGCCCAGTGACCACGATGGAATTTATGATCGACTGGCTTATCTAAACCATGAAAGATGCCCTCGAAATTCCGTACACGTTTGACCGTCTATCGCGCAAACTGAGGAAATTCAAACAAGTTTGAGGTCACCAATTTCCCTTCCCCTGACTGGACGCACCGCCACCCGAAGGAACCTTACATAAATAACGAGTAATAGCATTAACAAATTTACACGATATCACCTCGCAGGAATTTAGATTTTTATGAACTTATTGTCTGGAAATCAGACTCCATGAACCCAAATAAGTCTGAACATTTCGTTTCGATCAACACCCAAGACGACGAACGACATCCCTGTCGTTCAAAGCGCTACTCACCGGCCCCATTTCTAGTCTACTTTGACCTTTGAGCGAGTACCTACGCCGTACGACTCGTTAGTTCGTACGCCGTCTCCATGCGGTCCGTCACCGGGGACTTGGGGCCCGAGCGGGAAGTCGGCGACAATTTATCAAAATTTTGCACGCTCGCCCTTTGATCGACAGATACGGGTGTGTTCCAGACCCGTCTTTCCGGAAGTCTGTCTCCCGTATTGCCCAAACATTATATGGGCCCGTTAGAGTTTTCTTGTCTGTTGCCATCACCAACTGCCAGGAAAACCTGAGCGCAGCGGTGAGAATTATTTTCCATAATGCGCACGTCCTTCCCAGAGAGTTTTAACTCTACATCCTCCTTGTTCAACTCAACAGCCTTAGGATCATGCCTGAAGCACGCGATCGCATCCTTTGCTACCTAGTCTTTAGCGGTAAGCACTTTGCGGATGGATCGATGTATGTAGTCAATCCCCCACGCATTGAGCGGAGGGGTTTCCAGTAACAGCGATAGGTTCCGAACTCAAGGTGGAGCGCTCTCTCATGCTTGGATCAAAATGCCCCGTGGGGATTGCTGATAAGGGATTCACTGCGGAGAGTGTGCTGACAGAACCTTCTTACCACCCAGCTCGATATCAAACCGACTTGACTCTCCAACTATGAAGTATTTACAAAGTAGGCGATAGGAATAATCTTCCGATCGTTGTGTCCGACAACTTCTAGACAGGCGACGGCTTCGGTGTGGCATTGGCCTTTTTGGTGACAGCAATATCACCAAACCCCACCCAGAACACTCTATACAATCGCAATCGATGGTCTCAATCGGTCTTGACCTTGTCATGAGGATTGCGACCATCCATGCGGAGACGCATCGCTTTCGAGGCAAAGCTATCCACCAACGTCCCTAGTCTCTAGCCTGCCAAAATAAAAGGTCTGCAATGGGGAAGGTCACTGGCCGTTCACAATGCCTGTCATCCAACAGTGAATGAGGGGGAAATAGCGCATATCTTGACCGGAAGAACCCGTGTTACTGAAAAGTGTATCTCAAGATAAACGAAGAGTAGAATCGACTACTGTATACCTTAGGGCTCAGACGTCCGTGCAAGCTCACCGGTCAACCAACCATCGGCCACGGTACCCAGAGCTGGCGTAACGGCCCCATTTAGTGAAGTTAAAGCTTGCTCCAAAGTGCGGCCCCAAATACACTAAGACCTACTAGGAGGACGTATGTCTACGCATAGACAGCGCTAGGGTCTCAGCCAGGCGCCAAAGCCTTAGCATCCGAGTTGAGAAATCTACGGCTATCCGTGTCGGGTTATGAACCCGTAGCTCGCTTTCACCTTTTGAAACAATGACGCCGGCTATCTGGTTTCCGAAGGTTGCCATAGGACCAAGTCGCATAGTACATACTAAGTAAGCCAGTCTTGGTTGAGATGCTTGAAGTACTCTGAAGCTATCGGGGTAGGCCCCACCAGGAATTACCTCTCAATGCATTATACTGCATCCTAAATTTCTGATCATGTAACCCTAACTAATTAACCAGCCATGTCGAACAAACCTATGCTCATAGCAAAACCTTTATCCCGATATTAATCCCACTGCATATTCAGTTAACGACAAACAAACGCCGCCCAGACTGCAACAGCTCACATGAACTCTTATCTCCAGAGCATCTCCTCACTCCCCGCCCGATAGACAGCGCGGTCCCCCGATTCCTATTAGCCCGGACCCCCAAAGGCCGTGCCTACCACTGGACCGGGGGTGTAGCTCGCACGGACATTATCTGACTCTCAAGAGTAGCTACGGTGAGCAAGGTAGGTATGTACGTGGGCAGGGCCTGATGAGACAACGGGGATCCGAGCGTTGAAATCCCCTCTCCATCGTATTCCCCCTAGTGTCCATTCCCCTCCTTTCAATGTATGCGATGCAATGTCGACATTATCGCCAATGTCCTGCACTTCCATACCTCAGTAGGTCAAAGTTCCTCCTGGTAAACAGTGCATCGCCCACGTATGCACCAAATACATCTGAATCACCTCCAACTCCAAATCTCCTCATCAGCCTGGCTCCCTGAAACTACTAGTAGGTGTCACAAACACAGCCACGCGGGGTAACAGCTTACATGCTCACCATCATCGCCATTATCATCATCATAATTATCATTGTAGCCTACAACGCATCCTGGAACTGAGTAAGCTCAAGTCGCGACTGCCAACTCATCAATCCAGTTCCCCGCTTTGGGAAGCTTTGCCCTTTGCCCCAGGTCGGTACCCCATACCCCATACCCGTCGTTTGCCGATTAGCACGAAACTCCTTTTTTGGCTTTATGCTCTGCAGCAGCTGGGTGGAGAAGGCGTGTTTGGGAAGGTCTCTGCGATAGGTTGATTAGCTTGCGGGGTAGATAATTTGATGTAGGTTTTGGTAGGGTTTGATTTGTGTGCTTATCAATGGTCTGATATTGTGGAGTGGCTATGATAGGAGAGTACCTGTGGTTCTGGACTTCTTGGGTAGAGAGACCTTGCAATGGTGTGCTCTTGGGAATACGAGGTATCTTTGTGTGGATAGTAGTCTCAAACCTTGGAATTTAGTTCTCTCGCGTGCTTCGTGAATTAACGGTCCAGTCCTTTTAATCTTTCCTTGAGATTTACATTTCACGGAGGATTGACTTTACTCAGAAACTTAAAGCTCTCTGAAGCCATAGCCCATAGCGGTTAACCTATTCGTCGGATCCGAGATATCGCTGTCGAAATGGATAGATGTGATTCATTCGAGAACATTGGAAAATTTGGCAAGGTCGCGATACTCGGATGCTCAACGATCATCATTGTATTGTTTCACCCTCTATTCATACTTGACAGGGGTAATTCTGGTACAGATCATAGTTAGTTCATCGCTCTGATTGTGCTTTTCAGAATCCGAGAATAACAATCATGTATTGAATAGGTTCATTAGCCACCGATCGAGTTTCGCCTACACTCTCCCTCAAAGACCGTGAGATCGAACCCTACAATGAACCCTTGCACCGAGAGACTGCGAGATGTTACATTGTCCAATTCGTGTTCGAAGCGACCATATATACATTTACATCAATAGCCAGCATGAACTGAGCAGATCAAGTCTCTTACATCAGTGTGCTCAAACTGGGGTCATTGCGGTCAATATGGAAGAATATCTGGTACGTTCTTCTCTTGCAGCACACAACATCGAATGGTTAATAAAATCCTGGAAGTTGGCATCCGCTCCAGCATCCATTGGGCTCTGTGCCCCTAGATGGATTTTTGTTTCAAATACAGAAGAGTGATTGGTCATTCGTCCTTGCGAGAGAGTCACCTCAGATATGAATAGTGTGCTTTACCCTGCGGTTAGAGGTTCCCTCATGACTCGCCAATGGCAATTTGGAAAATGACTTTACGCTGTGTCTATCAGTGACTTTTCCAGTTGAAACACGCACGAAGGCAGCTGATTACCTGGAACAATGAGATTCCCCTCTGCCTACCATGCTTACAAGTTAAGAACTGCCCTAATTTCCCGTCCTTGATAATGCGGACTGGTGCTCTGGGATTAGGGGCCATAAATAGGGGAGGTTACTCTAACCCTGAGAGACTGGGTGGTGTCCTCTAGAATGGTCGTTCTTTGTTTCACATTGGAAGCTGGCTGTACAGTCTGCTTCTAAACTAACCAATCGAGTAGTAGTCAACCCGGTGAGAATACCTAGTATTCCCGACAGGGTGAGTCGCGTCCCAGTCAAAATATGTCACGCTGTGTTCGTTACTGAAGCAGTCGGTATCATGTGTTCCGCCTTTCCTCATATTGAGCTGCCTAATAGCAAGTTTTATTTTGCTCACTTGCAATTTCCCAGACTGGTGTAAGAACATTACTGGTACTGGAGGTTTCACCAATTTCTGCGCAGTTTCTTCCCCTTGCTTTTACCTTCTCGCAAGTCTTCTTTTGTAGGTCTCGGTGAATAAACCTGTCCTGTCAAAGCCGTGAAGTCTTCGCCCCTTGCTTGATCAAGACTGTTGAGCATCCGCCCCAATGGTGTCTCGCGGCCGCTATCGCCGATTATCGTTGCTCTCGGCAATTCTAATCCTATCTCTTGGCCTCTTGGCCTTTTCTAGCCATCATCGCCGTGTGCCAGCCGTGACCTCGTTCAAAGAGCGATACCCTTTGCTCTGGAAACACGTGCATACCTTTGAAGGACGTGGTGGAGGTAAGCGATGCATTACACATCCCGCACGTTCGTCCTCGTTCCACCATTGGATGATTTCGTCGCATTATGTTTGTTTGTTAACAGCCACTGAGTTGATATGCTATAGTGTGGTATATACCGACAAATTGGGTGCAGCCAAATCCTCAACCTCGAACTATTATCGAAGCCGCACAGTTGGCAATCCAAGCGACTGCCCTTGGCAGAGCACACCGTTTCATGCCCCATTCACTAATTCCCTTGATCGTCCATCAGGCATGGGGCCACCGACAAATCAATACTTGGCCAGAGGATTTGCGGCTCAGTGTCGAGAAATGGCTGCAGTTCGTGGTCGAGGGTGAAATGGCATATTTCCTTTGGGAAGATGAGGGCGTAGTAGAGTTTATCAACCAATTTACGCCTGAATCCCATGAGCACTATACATCGCTGCCATCAATGGTTGAGAAAACAGACTACTTTCGTATCCTAGTCGCTACATATGTTGGTGGGATCGTAAGTCCTACCATAACAATGTCATATCAATCCCCATACGACCTTGAACTGACAAGCTGTTAGTATGGGGATCTCGATACTGTGCCACTCAAGTCACCTGCTCAATGGATTACTTCACAGGAGGTTCTGCCATGGACAGACCTCGAGACTATATTCGTCTATAACTCTACGAAGCCCGTCAGGGCGATTTTCGGCATTGAAGCTGATTGTCTGCCCGCTGACCGCACATGCTGGCGCATGGGCTATCCATATTCAATCCAGCTAACTCGGTGGTCATTCGCCTCGACACGAGACCATCCTCTTCTACGCTGATATCTGGAAAACCTCGCTCACCAATTGCAGAAAATTGCAAATATCTACCGGGGGGGGGGGAGGGGGGAAGCCTAAAAACATCAGCCGCTCGTGCTGAACAACAAGCTCTTGACCCTTTGACTTTAACGGCCCGGAGGCCATCACTTACGCTGCTCAGGGATGGCTCAATGTCTCCGCTGGGTTGAGATGGAATGCCCTGACTGGTTTACTAGACGGCGGGAAGGCCAAGCTAGTGGACGATGTGTTAATACTTCCCATTACTAGTTTTAGGTGAGTCTTTGTCAGAAGGAAAGGTAAGCAAGGGATTTACTAACAAAACATTTACAATCCCGGCAGAGGAAAGTACGGCAACATGGGCTCTAAACCCATCACAGATCCCACAGCACTAGTGCACCATCATGGCCAAGGGTCATGGAAGAAATTTAACACCGTCACCGAGGTTGGTAAAATTTGTCGCACAGTGTTTGGTCTCTGTGAGAGTTGGTCGAAGATACAGAGCATAACGTGAGACAGACTTCCCACCTTTCTTTAGTCTTCCTCCCTTCGGCTTGTCAGGAAGTTCTGACCCATGCGCTCAAGTTGGCTCAACTTGATCGGTTCAGGAACCTGTATAATCTGTTACACCGTCATATAACTCACGTAGCTCTAAGGGCTGCACAAGGCCCAGAAAGTGCACTTTACGTCCATGGGATACTAACTAAATTAGTACTTATACTTGTACTATCTGATCATAGCCTGGAAGCAAGATTCCGGGATCTTTCCACCTCCAACTTAGTGAGGAGCGTATGGACACAGGGTTTTTCGATGCGTCTAGGCCCCTGAAGTTGTAAAGTATTCGAGAGTGCTGAGCCAAATCGACTCTCCTTTCTCTAGATAGAATTATATTACCTGGTCCTGCCCGTGATCAGCTTGCACGATATTCCTTATTTGATTATCTCAAACTAAGTTACTTCTGATCATGTACATGGCTCTATTGCCAGCATGCATCTTGGAAAACTGAACATGAGTAAGAGGGTAAAAGAAAGTAACCTTTCGAGATCAGGAACACTAGGTTGGTATAAGGATCGTCTTGAACAAGCCACATGGCCATGTAATTATGATTGGCTGATCTTTCACATCGATCGTTGCCTTTGATGTTTTGCCCCCACTTTTGGACGCCTGAACGTACCAGCATTGTAGACACCGTCCATATCACCAAACGAAGCTCACACAGCTAAGTCTCCAAGAGCTACTCTTCTGCCCTCAGCTACCAGAACATCCTCAACCTGAGCCTGAAATTATATCACCTGAAGTAGAATACCAAATCCAGTCCCCTTCCCAGTATCAAGCCATTACTAATGCGGCCTCTAATCAACTACTAGTAGCCCAATCAAGCCTCTGGATTACGTTACATAGAGGTGGCCGCCTTAGGGCCACGCAAAATGTTAGACTGGCTGAAGGCCCTATTTGCGAAAAAGGAAGAGTCGACCGCACCCTCGCGAAGAGCCAAGAGGGCAACGAAACGCGCGAGAAAGGCGCGGGCGAAACGACGGGCTGAGCTGGAAGAGGAACTCAGACGTAGGAGGATGGGAGATGGAAAAGTTCCCTTCTTTATGGGTTCTGTGATACCCGTCTTATGGGGCACGCCGGGGCAGAGTGTTGAGAAGCAACATGATCGGAATACTGTTGTGAGGTAGAGTTGAATCAACTAAATTTCTGGACTCGGGACTTGATTAGGGTGGCCAGGATAGCATATATCACAATATCCTGAGAACTTGGATAATTCGATTAAATACAGAGGGAACTGTAGTGCTGCTTGGTGGAGGAAACCAAGATCTGATTGACAAGAAGCATGAGATTCTGAAGATAGGGTCGAAATTACTGAAAGCCATAGGATGGAGGCCCCAGGGAGGGTTATTTTGCAAACTGTTGATTATTTGCACTATTAAAAATGCATTGCCCTCTAATACAGGCACTATATATAGTCTGGGCCATGACTCTGTTAATCGCAGTCTCATCATAATGACAACTGCTATCTTTCGGCTCTTTATTAGTGACTGTATATACTACTATTGTGCGGGGACCGGCCGAATAAGTTTGGGATCGAGGTTTGATATAATTTACTGTAACTTTCATGGTGCCGTTAGCCTATGGGGCTACAGCTACTCTTTGTTAGCTGTCGTCCCTACGGTCGTAGATAAATCAAAGTCAACACGGGCTTGGTTCTTGTAGACCTTTTGGAGATGAAAGGGGATATCATTGTGCAATTTCCGGTAAGACTCCAGTCCTCGTATCATACACAAAAACGACCTCGTTTCTCTTGTCGGGCGTGCCAGGTTGTAGCTTGAACTGTCTTTCCTCACTGTCTTATTCGGAAGCTGGAGGCTGAAGTCATGTTGAACTACACCAGTACTGAGAGTGATCTCGCCAAGATTAATTTCCTTTCTCGCATCTGAATGGTCCCTCGGTACGCGCCACATGTTCCTGTAACCAAAGCGAGCATGACTTCAGAAACGCTAGGGAGTAGACTAGCACATGCAGTCGCGGCGCTTGCTTTTCCCATCTCCGACAGGTACACGAAGACAAACTTGTGCCCGGCGATTCTACAATTGTGTTCGGATGGCCTGCTGAGTTTCCAAGTGTGAATTCAGATTTCTCGTCAAAAGTCGCCTCAGCGACAAGGCACAGAACACCGCAGTAAGAAATTCGCCTCGATGCCCGGGCCAGCCGTGTTTCTCGTTTGGACCTCGAGGGTTATTGGAACGTTTCGCGATAGCTCCGGCTGTTTAGTGGCAGACGACAAACTAGATAACAAAAGTCAAACTAGGCGTGGTACTCAGGAAGGTGTAGTAGACGCTTCATGATAAGCCGAGTAACATTTTAGACCATATAACTTCGAGAAGAGCTGGATCTATGTTTTGTTAGAGGCAGAGAAAATAAACAGTTAGCAAAGCTCACCATACCTTCTATTGTTCGCGGGGCTGTGGGAGACACGTGGACCAGTCATCGCATTTGACTCCTCAATGGGGGACTGGAAACGCCAATCTTTACATAAGATTTGATGACCTTTGGAAACTTCTAAAAAAGATGATCGACTGTATATATCGCGAGATTTCGGTGTCTCCTTCGAGATCAACTTGAAAATACAAGCCCAAGGCTCCCTAGGTTAAGTGTATAGGACTGATAAAGAACGTGAGATATTGAGAAACAGGACCCAGCTTACTACGACCAAACCCACAATCACACTGTAGGCAATTTCAGAAGTACCCTATAATTTCAGGTTTTTTGCGACAAGAGAGCGCATGTAGCCCCCTATCAGCTCGTGCCATACATAGTTCACAGGTGGTTCAGCACTCATGAGTGTTCCGAAGGCAGACACACAGAGCCTTCCAAGACCTGAAGGACGGGTGGGTCTGCTTGCTCCTAGTAGTAGTTATCTCCTCTAGAGTATGCATGCATGAGCACGTGATTACTTTACGGTTGATTGTATCGTCATGTATGCTAACCTAAAGGCAGTCCTTCCTACAGGAAAGAGGAGAGCGAGATAACGATAAGCCGTTGTTAGTAGTTATGGCTCTTCAGAACCTGAAGCTAAGTGGAACCACTAGTGGTCCATTTTTAACTCGAGCCGAAAAGGCCGATCCCGTGGGACAATCAGCCTTAGGAGTAACCCAACCAAACCTCCGGCTGTTTACTCCGTCCCTCATACAACTCGCTTCTGTCGACGTTGGCTTCATCTCCCAATGTCAAATGAATCACCTACCGGAGGTCCTGCTTTAGGGGACCTTGAAAAAGAACTGGTCTGCTCGGTATGTGCTTTCTAGCCATTTCTTCTTTCCTCACTTTCTGTGGCTCGATTTTCGATTAGGCTGAAGAACGTGGGGAGCCCCAGTCATCGCTCGCCTGCTGTCATCAACTCCTCTTTGTGTAGATCGGATATTTTGGAATAATAAATAATATAAATAACCGAAGATATAGTCGCTGTGTACTGTTACTGACCGCCCATTCTACTTAGATCTGCACAGAACTGCTCTACCAACCCCTCACCCTCCTTGACTGCCTCCATACTTTCTGCGGCTCTTGCCTGAAAGAATGGTTCTCTGTCCAAGCTTCACGCCACCGGTCATCCTCTTCCCCTCGATTCACTTGCCCATCATGCCGTGCCGTCGTTCGCGAAACAAGACCGAATGCCACAGTGACTACGTTGTTGGACATGGTGCTCACTGCGAACCCCGATCGTGCCAGCCTGAGGCGGAGAAAGAGGAGATCGCGCAAAGATATAAACCTGGACAATCTGTCTTCCCTACTGTTGCTTCGCCGGAGAATAGCACTGCTGAGTCGGACAATGATGATCGGAGGTTAATTGAAGAGGTCCGTGAACTGAGTCTGCGTGAGAGTGGGGCGCGAACAAGGGAGCATCGATCGGGACGATCATCGAGAACTCGTCGAGGTGAAAGTGCTGATGGCGATAGGCGAAGGGAAGATGGTCGATCTCGACAGCAACGAGAAGAGGAGCGCGCTACGCGACATCACTCTCGGACCGCATTGTCCGATCCTACAGAACGCACGAGACAGATAGAACACCAGTCAAGTCTTCGATCGTTGCTGAGCTTGTCGGATACCGAAACCATGCAAGAAGAGATCCTGCGTCAAATTCTGGAAGAAGGGTTGTTGGATGATATCGATATGGACAATCTGGGTCCCGCGCAGGAAGAAGAGCTTAGTGAACGCATTGCCGATGCTTATAGACGGAGGCATCGACTGCGTTCGCGATCACAACAGAGGAATGGTACGCAGGAAGAGGCGCATGCCTCAAATCGCCCTCGCGCACGATCGCAATCAGTGCAGAGATCCCATCCTGCTTCTGGTTCTCGAGGTTCACCAGCGCATCCTCCGGTGTCAAGGCCGTATTTACTCGAACCTCTCGTACAACGCCCCGGTAGCTCTGGCCATCAGCGACGTTTATCTGATCAAGGTGGCCGTCGAAGAGTATCGCCTATTCCTATTAGCTCTGCTTCATCCTCGGAGGTCAACCTGAGGCCTGCAGCAAGATCGTCTAGCGACATGATTGCTGACCGCCCTCGGGGCTCCCAGGCTGCCCGGGTCAGAGCGGCTGATTCAGCTCCACGTACACGTCGAGCGACGGCCTCCGAGCAATCTATTCCTAATATATGGGTGGCAGGTAGTAATGATCGAGAGCTACGGCGACAAAGGCCAGCCAGACAGTCTATCGACTCTCCCTCATCAGTTTCTTCAATGGTGCGCAGCCCTCGAACTGCTTCTTTCGCGGCACGCTCCGAACAGAACCTTGCAAACTCGCCTACAGCTACTTCTCTCACGCCCGAGATCAATAGTCCTGCCAGGCCAGAAGGACGCTCGAGGCCCTCATCCTCCAGATCTAACGCTTCTCAAGCGACAGCCTATTATATTGAACCGTCTATCTCGTGCGATCGATGTCGAAGGACAAATATCCAGTATGAACTTCACAAAAAGTGCCGGTTATGCAAGGATGGTGACTACCATATATGCCTACGGTGCTACCGGCTTGGGCTTGGCTGTCTAGACTGGCCTGGTTTTGGTGTATCTGCAAAGGCAGATCTCGACAGAATCCATGCTTCTTCTAATGGTCTTGCCACGCCTTCACAAGAATCGCAGCATATCCTCTTGTCTCTAAAGTATAGCCGGCCGTCCGACGCAGCCCGTCGAGCCACACGAGATGGAAGAGAGGTTACCAATGAGCACCCTGCCCGGCGATTGCAAGCCGGGCTCTTCTGCGACATATGTCAGTCATCAGCAGATACGTGCTTCTGGAAATGCAACCAGTGCAACGAGGGCGACTGGGGTTTCTGTAACAAATGTGTCAATGAAGGAAAGTGCTGTACGCATGCCCTACTACCAATATGCCGTGTTACGCCAGATAGCCCCTTGACTCCCGCGACACCAGCCGTTCCAGGTGATATAGCGAACGGTTCGGCTGCTCCTCTTGCTGGAGCCGAAACACTGAAAGTACTTTCTTTCTCCACAAATTGTGACATTTGCGCCAACCAAATTCCGCCTTCGACTCTTCGTTTCCACTGCCTGCAATGCAACGAAGGTGATTATGATATTTGTGCAAACTGCTACCTTAAGCTGGTGGCCACGGCAAAGATCCGTAAAGATAATGGACACAACGGCTGGCGGCGCTGCTTGAAAGGCCATCGGATGGTGGTGGTTGGATTTGAAGATCATGAAGAGGGCCAGAAGCGGGTCATCGTTCGTGACCTGGTGGGCGGTCGTGCTTTGAAAGATGAACACCTTCAACGTTCCTCCCCTCCGGCTTCTCCCTCCCTAACACGCGGCTCTGTGGCAAGCTCTGGCGTTGTTCCATCCCCTGAGCTCGGTACTGGCGACTGGAGTTGGAAAGAGGGAGCGGAGCGGCGCAAAAAAGCATCTCGCATCCGTCCCCCATGGTCTAGTACCATCGGTGACCGTACTAACTCATACTCTGAACCTTCCACGCCCACTACCCCCACACAGAATGCATCATCTTCACGTCGCTTCCCTCCTGATGGCGGCGTTGGCCTCGTTGTTCACGCGCTATGGCCATGGTATCCTGAGGATGGTGTCAAAGACGAGTTGATGTTTCCACGTGGCGCGGAGATTACCGAGGCCGAGAATATCAATGATGATTGGTATTGGGGGTGTTATGCTGGATCAACGGGGTTGTTTCCAGGGACACATGTCTTTATTGTTGGGGAGATCGCCTAGTCCATTTAACAAACATCTAACTACCTTGATGAAAGCAATGACGACTTACGATTGATGTATACATAGATGATGACGTTGGGATGATCTGATGGATGGAATGTACGTACTGCATCACTATACGGAATATCAGTGGTGGACTTGTACTAGGTTGCTGCCTGTATCATGGTATTAACAAATCACAAGTTGTCCAAGAATTAAAGTAGTGGTAGATGCATGTAGGCAGATGCAGATGCACCTCCAGTCGACCTTCTGGAAACTCTAGAAATATCTAATATGCCTTGTCTCCGCCTCAGCCCCACTAGCCCAGCCTTACTGCGCCACACTCGTCCCTGCCTTTAAGTATGGATGACGAACGGGTGGAAGCGCCCGCTTGGCGTCATTGTCGTCGTATATAATCTTCCGTAGTCTCTCACCTTCTGGAATACAGACAACCCCACTGCAATTTTTGAAGCCTTGAACTCTTAATCATGTCGTATAATCCGCCTTATCCTCCACCAAATCGTACGTATCTATATCGCACTAATATGATCTCTTCGAGATGTTCTTGATTGGCTAACCCTCGTCCTTTTCATCTAAACAGAACCTCCGTATCACGGCGCCCCTCAGGGTTTTCCGCAACCTCCGTACCCCCAGCAGCCCGGTTACGGTGGCCCCCCTCCTCCAGGTCAATATAATCGGCCGCCTCCTGCACATCCGGGTCAGTATGATCGACCTCCGGTAGCACCTCCGGGCCAGCCAGGATATCCTCCGCACGGACACCCCCCACCAGGCCCCGGATACCACACGTCGCCCCCATCTCACTCCCCCATATGGAGCGCCCCCACAACAGTTCCCTCCCCATGGCGGTGCAGGATATCCGCAACCGGGGCCATATGGTGGTGGTCCAGTAGGTGGCTACCCATCGCAACATCCACAACAGCCCTTCCACAGCCCTCCACCGGCCCAGCCATCCCCAGGCTACATCCCCGGCCAAATTGCCCCAGGTGATTTTAACCGCGAAGCCGATGGGCTCCGTAAGGCAATGAAAGGCTTTGGAACAGATGAAAAATCACTCATTCAGATACTGTCGAAAGTCGACGCGCCTCAGATGGCCGCCATCCGCCAGACCTATGCCAATTATATTCGTCGCGATTTGTACAAAGATGTCAAGTCCGAAACGAGTGGCTACTTCCGCGACGGCTTGCTTGCTGTCATTGATGGTCCGCTGATGCACGACGTGACTTCCGCGCGTGAAGCGGTCAAGGGAATAGGCACGAAGGAATGGTTGCTGAACGACGTCCTAGTGAGTCGGTCGAATGCGGATCTGAAAGCTATCAAAGCCGCATATGAACGCACATACAGCCGTTCTCTCGAAAAAGACGTCCAAAGTGATCTGTCATTTGAAACACAAAATCTCTTCGGAATGATCCTTCGCGCAGACCGCCATGAGGAATCGTTCCCAATTGACCCACGTACCATTGAGGAAGAAACAAAATCCCTGCACTCCGCCACTGCTGCTCGTATGCGGAACAATGTTCAGGAAGTTTGCGGTATCTTCGCCCGGTCGTCGGACAACGAACTCCGCGCCATTAACCAGGCATTCAGCGCCCGTTACAATACCTCGCTAGAGAAGCACATCGACAAGGAATTCTCGGGTCATATGAAAGACGCTCTGCTTCAGATGCTGCGTGGCGCATTGGATCCAGCCATGCGGGATGCCGAGTTATTGGAAGAATGCATGAAAGGCATGGGCACTAAGGACGTCAAATTGGTGAGCCGCGTTGTTAGGCTACACTGGAATAGAGCGCATAAGGACCAGGTGAAGCGCGCTTACCGCCATCGTTTTGGAAAGGATCTGATTGAGCGAGTTCGTGGCGAGACAAGCAGTGATTACCAAAGATTGATGGTTGCTCTACTGGAGTAGACCCTTTCGCTTTATGATTGTATGATTTCACGGTATGTTGGGTACGGCAGAGGTCATGACATGGGCTGGGCGGCTTTCTGTTTCTTTCATATGCGTCAACCTTCCATTTTTTTTCCCTTTCTAATTAGTGTAACTCTCAAGTGATACCACCAGATGCATGTTTTCAATATCTTGGGCGGCTTGCTCGGTTATCACTATACTGAATTAGTTTACTGAGGTATAATCTTCTGATTCGTTTTCGATAAATATGTATATGTTGCCCTTCTAAGAATTTCGCTTCAATCTTTAGACATCTTAGAGTAATCAAGTTACCAAATAGCCCGAAGATCACTAGGTGGTATTTTGTCTTTTAGCTAATCTACCTTGTTCGCCCGATACACGCTCGAACAGAGCTTCTAATTGGCCTTCTCTACTTTTCCTTACGTTAAAGCCCCATTTGAATGCATGTACCTAAGCCCGAATGGACAGGGGGGGCGATCAACATCCTCGGAATGTCCAACAGCAGCTGTGATTACTGATCGGAAAATGAACATTTTGACCCAATTTTGCAATAAAGATTAATCAACAGAACTATAAAATTGTTGCCTACATATCCCCTCTTGATACTTTAATTTTCTTACGTCAAGGAATCAGAATATAAAAAAGATGGTATTGTAACTTTGATGAATAGCCAAACAACATCCGGGGCACTTGACCATATTCTAACTTTATGTATATATAGTTCAAATCAAATAGCCTGTTAAGGAATCCTAGCCGGTCTATTCTGAGAAGAATCCAATACTACCGTTACAAATCATAATACACGGGCATCATGTGCTGTCATGGCATAACGATGCATAACACCAGGAGCTGTCCAAGTGGAGTGCATACCACAGACGCTCGAGAAGCCTAGCGGGTGTGGAAAGCTACTCGCAATTGGATAGTACAATCGGAGTTGAAATAAGATTACGCGCTCATTCTTTACTGAAAATTAGCTTGAAATTCCAGCTCCAGTTTTAGTTAGCGTCCGATATTTCCGAGTGGATCCATAGGGATGAGTCACTGGCAGATATTGTACAGGTTGCTTTTGCCATATGTACACCTTTCTTTCTCTTACATATTGGCACCTCCTATATACCTGTATATTCACGTACCATCTACCCCCATCGTCTTCCAAGTGCCGTTTAAAATGACTCAAGATAAACCAGCCGTCGTCTGCGTCTTGTGAGTCAATCATTTTTGCCACCCTCCTGCACCGCGATGATCGGTGATTGCTTCAATAAGGGACAACAAAACGGCCTATAATGAGTACGGCTAACTAGTACCAATATCCAGCTGCGGCGCAACAGCAGGAAGAGATCCAGTACACCTGGAGGCAGCCCGGGCTCTAGCCTACGAATTCCACAAAAACAATGTCCAGCTCGTATACGGCGGCGGCACCGCAGGACTAATGGGCGAGATCGCAAAGACACTAGTCTCCCTATCTGGTCCAAAAGCGTGCACGGTGTAATCCCCCGTGCGCTTGTCAAAGTTTCTGCGAAGAACGGCAGCGAGAAGACCTCTGCAACCGCGGGAGGCAAGACAGCTGAGCGAGTCGTCTCCGAATCCTTGGACGGAGATGAAATCCCTGAATCGGAATACGGGGTTACGACTATCGTGCCGGATATGCATACGCGCAAGCGGTTGATGGCGACCAAGGTTATGGAGGGTGGACCTGGATCTGGCTTTGTCACGCTGGCTGGTGGGTTTGGGACGATTGAGGAGGTTATGGAGATGACGACGTGGAATCAGTTGGGTATTCATCGTGTTGGGGTCGTGTTGTTGAATATAAATGGCTACTGGGATGGGTTGCTGGCGTGGGTGCGCAATGCGGTCAAGGAGGGGTTTATCAGCGCTGAGAATGGGTCGATTTTGGCTGAGGCGGTTGATGTAAAGGAGGTGTGGCCCAAGTTGTTGGAGTATCGTTGTAGCTCGGGTCGGTTTCAGTTGAACTGGGGTGAGGAGTGAACATACCTTGTAGATTAAGGTAGATGGAAAATTACTAGAACCATGGACTTGTATATAGCGGGCTCTGCCGATATGCCCCCAGATTGGTCCGTCGAACGCCTCTCCATAGTGGCACCGTCTTCTGGCCCTCATGAAGCTCGAGACGCTTTCTTGGGAGACAGTCGCCATTATCGACCACGTGAAAACGTAACACTACCGCTTTAGAGGCCTTAAAGCAGCTAATTCATTCTTGTTGGTGATACTGGTGGATCTTTTGAGTGAAAGTAGGGCCATAGCTAATTTCCCAAAGAGGCAATACCCGCGAGGCTATATTAAGCTTAAACACCGGAGATAAGGTATCCCCGCAACATGACAGTAGGATTTTATAGATATTCGATCCTTTGCTAGGCGAACAATATCTCTCCAAAACCCGATGTTTCCGATTCAGATGTTCGGCTTTAAGGAATACCCCAATGCATCTCCAGTGTGTCAGGTATTCCTAGAGCTTAAGATGGATATATAAACCCCAGATGACACCCTCCAGGACCTTGCATTTCAGCTAGTATCCACGATTTTCCCACTTGAATAAACCTCATAACCTCGTACTCCCACAATGGCATCTAAGATTGTCCTAGTAACCGGAGCCAACAACGGCATCGGCTATGAAACAGTCAAAGCTCTACTCCAATCCACAAAAGCAACCTACCACATCTTCCTGGGTAGTCGGTCCATCGAAAAGGGCAACAAGGCGCTGGAGGCCCTCAAGGCCGAAGTGCCCGATACGAAAAGCAGCGTTGAACTCCTCCAACTTGACCTAACCGACGATGTATTCATTGAGTCAGCCTATGACACAGTGCGCAATAAACATGACCACATTGATACCCTCGTGAACAATGCCGGTAAGTGACTTCTTTCGCCATTAATATCAACAAAGACGCCCATAACAAAAGCCTGGTATTAATTACCCCAGGCGCCAGCTTCGACGGCGAGCTGCAAGCTGGCCGGGTCTCGCTCCGCGAGTGCTTCACCAAAGCATACGACGTCAATCTAGCCGGTACACATGTCTTGACCTACACCTTCATGCCCCTACTTCTGAAGTCAGCGGATCCGCGATTAGTCTTCGTGGCGGGTCTGTCTCATATCACCCAGGCTGCTAAATCGTACTTCCCGACACCGCCGCTGCCCGCGGGTTGGCCGAAGAAAGTTGATTTCGAGACCATTGGGTATCGGTGTAGCAAGACGGCTTTGAATATGCTGATGTTGGATTGGAATCATAAACTCAAGGCGGATCGGGTGAAGGTCTGGGGTGCTGAGCCGGGATTTCTGGTGACGGGCTTGGGGGGTGTGACTGAGAAGGTGAGGGAGATGGGGGGCGGACATCCTAGTATTGGGGGTGTTTTTATTAAGGATGTTGTGGAAGGAGTTAGGGATAGTGATGTTGGGAAGTTGGTGCAGAAGAATGGGCTTTCGGCTTGGTGAGTGGTTGAGTATAGAATGGTTGTTTGGGATTGCCAAAGTAGTTGTATGTCTTGGTCTTCTTTTCTTTTTCTTGATTATTTATATGCCAAGCTTGAAGTTCGCAAAGAGTAGAGCTCCAGAAGGCGAGGTGTTTTCATCATAAGATGTGGACATAGTATCCATATCCTGTTACTACTCTGCTCACCCAATTATTCACTTGCCTATAGAATATCCTGTCGGTTAAAATAGCAAAGATATTATGGCAGTAGAGACTACGAAGTTCACTGACCAAGATCGAGATCAGCTCCAAGTTTGTTTCGTCTCACACAGCTAAGAGTAGAAAGCTCATTATACAGGGATATCGTCATGACCATTTGGGGAAAGAATTTGGAAAGCATAAGCGTCATTGCGTATGCGTCAATGACTCTGTAACGCTAAAAACCAGTTTTATTAACCAGCACCTGCTGAACCAATCTATAATATGCTCTTCATTATTTGCTCTTTCGAGCTTCAGCTGCACCTTCAGCCTTAGTAAAGGCGGTGCGCAGCTCCTTGGTAGCCTCCCACAACACCCACAGAGGAACCCACACCCACAGGGTATTGAAAAAGAACAGATAGAACCACAGGTATACAGGGTTACTTGTCTCCAACTGCGAGCTACCCGTAAGCCATTCAGGCGCAAAGGTCATGAACCCGCCGTATAGCTCAGCGGTCGCCAGAGCGGGCGCCACCAGCCACAGCTTCGCCTTCGCAGAACCTTTTGCCGTGGCACTCGTCCGGCTGCTAGAAGCCTTCCACAGAAGATAACAGACATACAGCGCTGCAGGGCCTCCAAGAAAAACGGTCAACAATTCGAGGGAAATCACGTTGGCATCGGCGGCTGCCCAGCGGAAATCGGCCTTCGCGTATTCTTGCCACAATCGCGAGCTGGGACGAGTTCCGTATGCGGCTCCATATACACGGTCCTTCTGATCGAGGAAGTAGGGCGGACGGTTGAAGCCGGCGGGGAGAGATGTGTAGCTGAAGAAGCACTCGTAGAGGAATGAGCCTTCGATGAAGATGTGGGTGAGGGCGTCATAGGCGTGCCAGAAGAAGAGGATCCGGTTTCGCATGTGAGTGGAAGGGATTAACGACCGGCCAAGGATGTAGGCGGCTGGCATGAAGGAAAGGGCAAATGCGATGCAAAGACATGTCGCGACATCCAGGGTGAAAGGTGCCACGGTCGACATGTTGGATGTCTGCTGTTCGATCTGGGCTTTTCTTTTTTACGCTCTACCACCAATATGAGCCCCAGGTAGGAAGACTTTGATCGTGTGAGAAGAAAATACCAGGAGTAAAGTCAGGTTTCTGTCATGGAGATGCCAGCGGGTTAACGCTGGAGATGTTGTGATCCCTATCGCGTGGTCTGGATGAACTGGATGCTGGGCCCCCTGAAACTGGAAGAATGATCGACACGGTGGCGTTTGCCTGAGGCAGCCGCGGAGTCCGACGAGTTGCGGACCCACCTTCCGCGATCTTGTTCATACTACCTTTTAGTCTCCAGCTTTCTTAAGTAGTATAGCGCTATGGCTTCATTTACGAGAGGGCCATATCCGTTGCCTAATGAAACACTTCGGGTTCCTTTATCTTATTCCATTTATCAGGTCACACACCCACCCCGAGAGCCGAGCGCTCAATAGTGCGACCACCAATGGATCATCTCGACGGCAAACAATGAATGACACCCCCGCATAAAACTTCCTCCACAGCCGCAAGGCTTTGGGCACAAGGAGGATCTCAGTCTGATTGGACCAAACACGAGGGAATGGCTTGGATCTCCCTCCATGTGAGCCAGTCTCTCCAGATTCTTGTTCACCCTCGAGTTGCGGATCTATAATACTTCACTCAACTTGGCCTGCCGCATCTGGAAGATATGAAGTGAAAAAGGAAGTCTAGACCGACTCCCCAATACTCTCAGTCACGCATCCAGCAACTACAAGAGCTGTTGTCTTTGTTCGTTCTGACAGAAAGACTCAAAGAAAACTCCCCCTGTGGGGTCGACTCGCCTCTAACACCCAGTCATTGGCTTCCGGTTCTCTCTATGAGAAACCTAAATCCCCTGGCTCCGATGAGCCACAAGGAGTAACGGTGCACCTTGAGGAGCTCTTCTTTTCTAGTTCTACTTTTTCATGCCTTGCTGCGCCTCTGCGAAACCGACCTTGGTACCCTTTCGCTGTGTCCTCCTGGGCGTTCGCGCCTGATAATACTCAGCAGTATCCTGCGTCTCCCACCAGAAGTCAGGTCAGAAAAGTTCTGACCTGGTCCATCTTCCCCATTGAGCGGGCCAGTCTTCGTAGTTTTTATTTGAAGGGCACCCATTGTACTAAGTTTTACGCTTATCTATCCTACAAGCCTTTTTCTATTATTATCCCATCTTTCCACATCATTCAAATTCCGTCCTCCCGAACCAGGGATGGATTTTTGGGAAATTTCTCTGTCTATTAAACTGTACACATGTTGATTTATTGCTATCTACAACACACTCTATTGTCGCTTCCGTGCATTGGACCTCGTTAAACAAACAGACCGCCACCATGGCCGCTCTCCCTGATTCGAACGCGGCCGATATTCTCGCACTCACAAAGCTGGCGTGGGATCTTTACCATGACTGCTATCTTATTACTAACGACGCCCCCGAAGTCTTTAAGCAGCTCGTGAATGAACTAGCCTCTCTGCAAGGTGTTCTTCGAGCTCTCCGAGATGACGTAAACTCCAATACGTCCTTCTTCGACGACCTAGAGGAAGGTCGCAGAAATACTTTACAGCGATGTTTAGACGCCTGCCTCAAGACCTTACAGCAGTTGAAGGATTTAATCACCAAGTACAGGAATTTGGGAGTAGGTGATGGCAAACAATTTTGGCAGAGAGTCAAATTGATCGCACAACGAGGACAGATAGATGATTTAAAATCTAGGATCATGGTCCATACCTGCAACCTTAGCTTATGTATGAGCTCGATTGGCAAGTAAGTATAACAGATAGTTGTTGTTTTTCGTGTGTGTCTGCTTACGGGTATAGTTCAACTTTGACAAGAATTGAGAGATCAATGGCGGATGCTTTAGAACAGAAAAGCTTCCCTCCCACCCCGGAAACGCTTTCGCGTGGGCAGCGTGTCCTGAGAACCCCACCAATACCGGGAGATGATGAACTTCAGCTTGAGGAGTCATTGCGTATTGAGCCACTGCGTATTAGTCCGAAAAATGTTCCCATGAGGGCAAATAGCCTTCCAACTGCTGAGATCCATGCTCGTATCTCTACTACGGAATCGATTCTTTCTGGCAGGTCTGAGTGGTCAGCAACCACAGCAAATACTACCTCTCCGTCAATCAATGACCCACTGAAGCGTTCCATGTCCCACAATTATGTTGTTAGACGCACTGGTTCATGTGCATCAGAGTCGAGGCATCTAAGAATGCCTAGCTCTGAGAGTGAGCAGCTCGGCATCCACCCTGCATTGCGAGAAGAGCCCTTTTCGGATGATCGCACTGAGTCCCCAGGATCTGAGCTGGATAATACAGCCGTCACAAGTGCTGTCGCAACTGCTATGCATCAGCTTCAGCAAGTACAAATCCGTGAAAGTATCCTTCGACCGTTGCGATATGAACCGCGCGATAAACTCCACCAACCTGATCCCCAGCTTATGAGAATCTTTGATGCCTTGGTGCAAGATGAGTTGAGGATCAAACGCCTAAACACAAGTGATTGGCTACGAGTCGCAGTATGGTGGCTATTGAAGGTGTGTTGAATCCCTCTCTTATCCTACAAAACAAACGGACGGCATTTAATAAAGTTTAAAGGCTCGATCAACTCTTGCCAGTTCGGATAGGCCGAGCCTCGTCGGCCCTCAAGGCAGTGTGACTCCACCAACAGGGTCCTGGGCCCCAGGCGATCAAGCCTATGTTGATCTTCTCAAGGCATCATATATCTTATATGATATTGTTTTGACTGATCCAAGCTCTCACACCATTCTGACCCATGAAAACCGAAAGTTGATCTCCGATTTATCGGAGGTAAGTCATGTTGGGGTTCGTTTGAATATCGTAGTCTGATCGTTCAGTAGGGAATCAAAGACGAGTTTGCGCATTTTATCTCATTGGATGTCCCCGAATGCTCTATCATGCAGTCCCAAAACCTCGATATTTGGGAACCTTTGCAGCCGGAAGAAGCAGCCGAGAAGGGCAGTGACTCAATCATCGGTTTGAACAATGTGCGTTGGGCTACTGTTGACCTAGAAGACGCGGGAGATGAAGAAGAAAGGGTTTTCTACCGAACGTTCGTGAACGCTGGCATTGGTAGCAAAAAGCTCCGTATGCGAACAAAAGGCGCTCCGTACATGCTCCTTTTGTCTGCAAGAGAGGGGGAAAGCGAGCCGAAGATCACGATCTGCAATCAGAGTGGTACGCTTTGTTTGCAGCGAGACTGTAAGTGAATTGACGCAGCAATACTGCAAGTTCTATCGAACCAACCCATACTGATAATTCACTGGCCAGTTCTACCCGAAGATCTGGGCCAAATGATACGAGTTTGGCAAGCAACTGTCTCTGGTTACCCTGGCATGAAAATTTCGGAACCTATCGTGCTACGATTCGATACCAAAAGTGTATCTGTCTCTTTCCAACACACGTGTGACTTGCAGTATTTCATAAATCTGCCAAAGGCATACTTTGACGCCGTATGGCAACGAGAGCCAGTGGACTCCGATCAGTTCTCTGAGACTGTCCTATTTAGGAGCTCGGTCGAAAAGTTTGAACAGTTGAAGGCGCCCACTATGAGAGCTATGAATCCCCAGGTAATTCGCAAATCGTGCGAAGTGCGCATTCTAGAGAGGTCTTATGGAGAGGCATGGCAGTCTGTCCGGCGCATGGTCATTAGCTCCTGGGTAGCCGAGCAGGCACCGAGATGCATTGAGTTATTCATGCCCATGAGTCGTGTCCAGGTCTCCCGCGGTGAAGAGTCTGGACAGGTTTTGGTGAAATGGTCAG